TATGAAGGAGGAGGCTGAGTACACTAGATTTGGAAGGTAAACCGGTACTGAGGGTGCTCCGGGCTCACAAGGGAGATTCAATGATGTCGGGAGTGATCACATCAGAAATAAACTCCACCCCCAGACCAAACCAAACCAAACCTGTCCCCGTGGAGTTGCTTCTGATTCAGAGTGACCCTGCAGGACAGTGGAAAACTGCCCCACTGTGCTTTCTGGACTGTCATCTTCATGGGAGCCGGGGGGCTGGGGGGGCTGCAGGACTGCTAACCTAAGTGCAGGCTGTGGGAGCCCATGGGCCACTAAGAAAGAAAGCAAGATGAGCCGTCTGTTCCTGTAGCCTGTGGCGCTGAAGCCCACTCTTCTTGGTCTGGTTGGGCAGCAATGAGCCAGAAGCACCCCAGGACGGTGAACCATGATTGCAAGCAGCCAACTGCGGTTGGGGACGTCAAACCACCACGTGCTGAAGCGCTGGGCCTGCATGGTTCCTTAACCGTGCCAGCCACAGGAATGTGTCCTTCACCCTGGCTTCCACACAGCCCTGGTGGGGCCATGGTTAAGTGCTTGGCTGACAACTGGCAGGCCAGGGTTTGGACCCAGCAACCACTCCTTGAGAGAACCATGAGCAGGTCAGGTTTCATAAGAACGGCGGCCTTGCTACCCCCGGGGCTGTGTACTGGGGCTGACTTGAGGGGAGCGCGCTTGGTTTGGGCTTCAGTGTTATTGAAACACTGCTATCAGGGCTGACAGCCAGCAGGGGAGGAGCCCTGGTGGTGGCGCAGGGGTTAGTCATTGGGTTGATAACCACAGGGTCAGCAGTTTAAACCCACCAGCTGCTCCTCAGGGGGAAAGATGAGGTTTCGACTCCCGTAAAGTGTTACTGTCTTGGGAACCCACCGGGGCAGTTCTCCTCTGTCCTACAGGGTGGAGCCCGATCAACTCGAAGGCAGTGAGCTTTGAGAGCCCCAAGGAAGCAGCCTTCCACAGAGTCTGGAGATTCAGACACACGATCTTATTAGTGGTCCCGACCAGTGTCAGGGCAGTCTAGCGACTGACTGAGGGGTGCAATGCGTGAGACAATGACAGGCCAGGAGAGGTCCCGCGGGGCTCGCTCCTGATTTTAATCCGAGTGTAGCTGTGTAAGTAACTTCTTAGTGATGAAGATGTTAGGGCAATTTCCACTTCAGAGACTCCTGGGGACGGGCATTAGGAGAGCACCGGTCCCTGGGTCACCAGGTGACGCACTTTGGAAGCTATTTGGCCAAAGGGCTTCCATCTTTCACGGTCAGACCAGAGATGCACTGGTTGAATGAGGCCCAAGAAAACAACCCTCTACATCTGAGCCGCCCAGTCCTGGCTGCTCACGGATACCAGACACTTGAAATGTGCTATTTGGAACTGAGATGGGCCGGACGAAGTCTGCAGTGAGGGTTTCTCAGACGAGACGAGAAGAGAGCATGAAACAGTCGTGTGAAGGGGGGACAAACGCACTGACATCATCTCAGCTGCTTCCTTTGGCTCTTCCACGTGGCTCAGCGAGACTGTGAGCTGCAGAGTCGGCTTCCGTGGTATCGCCACTGCTAGAGGCCACAGGGGCAGGCAGGACGTGTCTAGGATAAGCATGTGGGGAGCAGTCGCCATATCCTCGCTCAGATTCCTGTCTCTAACTCCCTTCCAGTGGAATCGCAGGCCAGCCCCAGGATGCCTTGGGAGTGATGGTTTGAGACCGGATCTCGCTGATCTGGGATGCTGTCATTTCTGTTCTCGGACACTGTCCCTGGGTGCACATAGACCCACCACCCATGGGGTACCCCATATCTCCAGGTCTTTTCTCCCATGGAAATACTGGGTGGACTTTACTGCCAACCCTTTAGCTCACAGTGGCGAGCACCACTTAGTCTGAACCAGGCCGTGGGCGATGACTCCTTGGAGAGGCTCACCCTGGGCAAGTCCTCTGACACTGGTGTCAGGGTCGTCCGATTACGTGAAAACCATCAGATGCCATCTTGTGACTTTCAAAATATCACCATGCATACAAACGCGTTGACTCTCACAACAACCTGCTTTCTCAGAAACGGTTTCTAACATTCTTTTACAGACCCACATTATCGAGAGGTACCCACTTCCTCCAAGAGGGACAGTCGTTTCGGCAGTGACTGTCACTGAAGGGACCCTGGGGGCATGGGAAAGCTCTCTGCCACGCTGAAGCAGCTCTGCTCAAAGGTCCTCTGGAAGCTTCCCTGGCTCCCCGCCGGGAGCCTCTCCAAGATGGCAGGAACTGACTGAAGAAGCCAGAGAGAGGTCCGTGTTGAAGAAGCACAGCCATGCCCAGGCCCGGCCCGTCTCCTCTGCTTCTGGAGAGGACCCGGGGGCCAAGGCCACTTCACCGCCACCAGCCCTCTTCTCAGGCTCTGACTTTCACCCTCTCCTAGTACTTGGTTTCCTCTGACCTTCATGCACGGCCACTGGTGGTCAAGGGGCTGGGATCCGGGTTACAATCAGACTCCTCTACCAGCTGCTCTGTTTGCTTCAGTGTCCGCCTGTGTGTGAGCGCACCTCCTTTGAGAGCCCATTTTATGTCGCTGGACAGGAGGCCAGTTCTTTGAGGTCTTCATGGCCACGTCTGGGTTCTGGGTTGAGATCTTTGACCTGCAGCCCAGACTCCAGAACGGAGTAAGCTCTCCGTGTGTCCCAGGGCCAATAATCCAGACAAGCTGTTGCTTATTTCACGAGTACGAAGCATTTTCCCATTTCTGAGTGTGCGGTCATTGATTACAGTCTCCAAACTCAAAGCTTAGCTCTTTCTATTTTGATTTTATGGATGTGCACAGAGAGATCAATAGGAATTTCTGCTGCTTGTGAGTGCCGCTGGATTGGTTCCGATTCCAAGAGCAGTAGAAGGAAGCACCATCTTCATGACCAATTCTTCTGCGGTCTTCCTTACCCAGTGCTCAACTTTCACCTGCATATGCGGCTGTGGAAAACACCATAGCTCGGGCCAGGCGCACCTCAGTCCTGGTGGTGGTGACGTAATTTCATGTCAACTTGATAAATATAGGGATGGAGTCTAGCCTGTCAATTAGGCCACAGCCTGATTGATGAATCCTTGTAGGCGGGGCCTTCTCATGAGAATTCTGGGAGTTTCCTCTCTTCCTCCCTGGAGGTGGGACACACTCTCTCTCTGCTACACCTTCTTGTTGACAAGCCACAATGGAGCCATGCTGATGGCAACCAGAGCCCTGGAGATGAGTCCACTGCCATTGGACCCACAGGACTTTCCATCCACACCCTGCGATCTTCATGTATTCGGCATCATTGCATGTGCTGCGTGAGTCTGAAGAGGAATTCATGGGCTAATCTCAGACTTGTGGACTACTATCAAATTTATAGGCTTGAACCGGACTGGGCTGGGATGTTTAATTGATGCATAATTACTTCTTGATGTAAAGTTCCCTTTTACACATATATGAATGTCTCTAGATATGTTTCTCTAGTCAACCCGGACTCACACAGTTCTCAAAGTAACATCCCTACTTTTCAAAAAGAGGTCTTGCCCAATAGATTCACTCAGTACAAAACATCCTTTGATCTCCTGGCTGCTACTTCCATGAGCAATGACTGTGGATATAAGCAAGACGAAATCCCCGACAACTTCAATCTTTTCTCCATGTATCATGATGCCACCTATTGGCCCAGTTGGGAAAACTTTGGTTATCTGTACATTGAATTGTAGTCCATCCTGAAGACTGTGCGATTCTTGATCCTCGTCAGCAAATGCTTCAAGTCCTCTTCACTTTCAGCAAGTAAAGCTGTGTCATCTCATTACATTTTATTTTGTCCTCTTGAGCTGCCCTTTCATCATTTCTATTCCACTCTTTGACTTCATCCTTTCTTCCAGTTGCCTGCACTGCTCTATGATGAAGAGCAAGTTTCCGAGTCTCTTCTGACACCCACTTTGATTTTCAGTTTCTTTCCTGCGTGTTTAATGACAATTTGCTCTTTATGAATGATGTCATTGATGTCCTCCCACAGTTCACTGGGTCTTCTGTCATTCGTATTCGATGCAGCAAAGCTGTTTTTGAGAGGTTGAGGTGGGATATATTCAGGTCATATTTTGGTCATGTTCATGTACTCAAGGTCATGTCTCGGATCTCGTGGGCTTATTTTGATTTTCTTGAGCTTCGACCTGAACTTACATATGAACAACTGATAGTCTGTTCCACAGTCAGCCCTGGCCTGGTTTCAGCTGTACAACTCTTCTTGATGTGGCTGAACTACTGCATTGTATGCTATGTCGGCTATGTGCCAATTATACAGCTTAAAAAACCCTGAGAATCGGTGTAAAGACCTACTAGAGCCCCAGCACACAGGGCTGCCATCCACGAGGTCAGGTTTCAAACCATCAGCTGCTCCATGGGAGGAAGGGGAGGCTGTCTTGTGTGTGTGTGTGTGTGTGTGTGTGTGTGTGTGTGGAGGGGGCTTAGAAACCCAAGGGCAGTTCTACCATGTCCCATAAGGTGAGTTCAAGTGTCAGGGACGGCAGTGAATATGCTTTGGGCCACAGGGACAGGTGTGAGGGACTGTGTCTTTGTGAACAGCCTGAGTGTCAGGGCAGTCGTTGGTGGCAAAAGCAGTTAAGCACCGGCTGGTAACACACTTGCCTGTCACTTCTGAGGTTGGCTTGGCCATCAACCTCCTCAAGCCCATCCCCTCTCAGACTCAGACTCCCCTCAGACACATCCCCTATTGGACTTGGCCCCCCTTGGACGCATTCCCTATCGGACTTAGCCCCCCTCCAACTTGGCCTCCCTGAAATGAAGTCCAACAGTGCGGGTTTAGTTTCCAGTTAGGTTTGAACAATGCTCATGTGACCCCACTAATGGGGAGAAAGGGCTGGCCTGGATCTTCCTGGAGATTCTGTGGGGTGGGAGGGGGTGGGGACACTCACAATGCCTGGATCTTCCTGGAGATTCTGTGGGGTGGGAGGGGGTGGGGACACTCACAATGCGCACGAGCCAGGCCAGCGTGGAGGTGGCTGTGGAGTAGTGGGTGCTGTAGTGGTAGGGCAGGCTCTGGTCATCCTCCCACGTTTCGTAGCGCTCTGCGTAGAACACGGCTCGCTTGGGGTTCAGGGCACCAATGGGCTGCGAGGGGACAGAAGGGGCAAAGGTGAAACATGCCACAGTGGGGCTCGCCTATAACGATAATCATCATGCTTATACAGATACGCAAGGAAGAGTCTGATGGCGTGGTGGGCGAGGTGTCGAGGTGCTCACAAGGTTGGTAGTTTGAAACCCCCCAGCCACGCTCCTGTAAAGTTAGTCTCCAGTCTGCACGGCTGGTTGTACCCTGCCCCATAGGGTCGCAGTGAGTCGGCATGGACTTGAGGGCAAGGGTCTGAGTTTGAGTTTGCGTCTATTTGCAGAGCGGTCAGGAGGGTTGAGCCAGTCAGGTCAGTCTCAGGGTCAGCACAGCGCCCAGGCCCCCCAGAGTCTCTGTTGTGAACGCCCACTCTTCACTGAGCCCGGGGGAGTCCCCAAGGGGAGGGCAACCCACCAAGGCTCAGCACCGTATCTGGTGCCCTTTCGGTGTGAAGCTAGTGCTAATGGGGGTGGGGGCACTGCCAGCTGCTGTGGCAGACCCCATCAGTCAGGGCTCCCAGCGTGTGCCCTCACAACCTTGGCGTGTGATTTGGGCGTCCAGGCAGAAGGAGCCCACTCTGACGTCTGAAGGGTAGTGGCTGCTCTCAGATCTCTGACTCCACACTGGGACGACCCTCTAGAGGGATCCTCCCATCATGCACCCCGCCAGGCCCCTCTCCTCAATGTCCTGCGAGGCTGAAGGACGGGGGCTCAGGCGAGACCGGATTCCTGTATTTCTGAAGTGCCCTGCATGACTCCAAACCCCCGGGCTGCATTCACAGAAGAGATGGAGTCGGAAATGAGTGTTTCACTGGGACGGGTAGTATTACCAGGGAGAGAGGGAGAGGTAGGGGGAGGGATGGGAAGGGTGGGGGGAGGAAGAGAGGGGTAAAGAGAGAGAGGGAGGGAGGGAGAGAAAGATGGGGAAGAGAGAGAAGAGAGAGGGGCTAGGGAGAATAGATAGATAGATAGATAGATAGATAGATAGATAGATAGATAGATAGATAGATAGATAGATAGATCGATCTAGCTGAGGCCGACCAGCTCAGGCCTTCAGGCAGCTCCCAGGAGGCTCCTCAGTGCAGCTGCAAGGAGTGTCGGCTCCACGGCTCCACGTGCAGGCTCAGCCAGAGCAGGAAAAGAGCTTGTAAATTTGTGCCTCTTTCCCCCTGTAATTATGACCAGCATGCAGACCAAACAGCTTCGGCCCTGTCTTTAGGGACATGAATATTTTAAGCACCCTGAAGTCTTCTGTAGCCGTTTCTGTGAAGCAGAATGTGGGCCCAGGCTCAGAACTTGATTCTGTGTTAAATCCCCGTCGGCTGCTTCACTACTAGCTTCCACATAGAGGTTAAAAAAGGCCATGGGATTGTAGAAAACGTCAGTTATGTTTTCAACAAGTGCTGACTGCAGTTGCTATTGGGCTAGGCGGGCGGCGGAGGGAGTGAATGTGGGGTTTGGTCCTGAGGGAGGGAGGGAGGGAGGGAGGGATGCAGCTCAGGTTGTTTCAGGCGTCTCATACTTTTCTGGAAGGACAGAGCGCTGCCTTCCCTCACTACAGTTACAGGTAGATTTCTTTTCAAACCATTTCACATGCCTGTGCCCTGGCCGGGCCCACTCGCTGGCATCAGACATCTGTGCCCGGGCAGCCTTATCTGATCAGGTGCGAGCTGCGGCCCCCACCACACATTCTTGATACGGATACAGGACCCCTCCACTAATCCTTCCCAGCCCTTCCCTCAACTACTGTAAAAGGGATAAAATAAATATTTATACTTTTAGTTTACTCGTGTTTCATCGAAGTCGGTTCATTTGAGTATTTTACCGAATAAAGCTCGTTCGGAAACAGCTGCATCCCATTAGTGCCTGCCTGTGCCCCAGAGCTCACGCTCACGGGCATCTGTCCTCTGTGAGGTAGAAGTGAATTGTAGGGCTCAGTGCAAATGAACAGATTGTTCTCTGTCATTTCGCTTCTGATAGCCAGGCACACAGCATCTCTGTTTGCTCTGGACACGGAGCTTCCAGGAGGGGTGGTGTAGTGTGAGGCGGGGCATCCACACGGGAAACAAGCCGCTGCTGTGGAGTCAGTTCAGTCTCAGTGACCTGCAGGACAGGGCGGATCCACCCCCGTGGGTTTCCCACACTGTCCATCTTTGGGGGAGCAGACAGCCTCCTCTTTCCCTGTAGGGTGGCTGGCCTATCTGAACGTCTGCCCAACACTTATCCAACAGTGCCATCAGACAGAGACAACATCTGTGTGTCCATCTACCTGCCTGCCTACCTTATCTGACTACCTACCAGCCCACCTCACCTGCCTGCTTCCCTACTTACTTATGTGCGAGTCGATAAAGTTGTAAAATTGCTGTTCTTTTAAATTTGGATAAAGTAATTCAAGGCCAATATCATTTGGTGTCAGCCAATGAATAAGGCAGTCATTGCGATAAGGACATGAGAGTAACCTACATTTAGTGACATGTATGCATGTACGAAAATTTTACTGCAGAGTTACTGGAGCATGGTCTCGCTCACTCACATCCCTTTCTCTCACACGGCCGGTAGTTAGAGACTCCACCTCTGGGCACCTGAGAAGGAGCCTGGTGGGGTGGCAGGGCAAGCATCCAACCACTCCCCTTTAATGCTTTAAGTTCAAGTTTAAAGACAGAGGGAATGCCATCTCAGACAAGTGCCACAGGCAGTTTGTCTTTCTGAAAACTTACTTGTGATTTTTTTATGTAGAACACATGTCCTGAGGAATGCTTCCTCTGAGGACGATTGTCAAATGTTACCACTTTGTTTCATCTAGCCGATCTATCTATCTATCTATCTATCTATCTATCTACCTACCTACCGGCCATTTTGATCCATCATAGGCCCACCTACCAGTGTATCGAGGTATCTACTGATAGGGGCCCCTGGTGGCATAGCAGTAAGGCACTAGGATGCCAAGCGTGAAGGTAGATAGCCTGAAAAGCCACAGGAGTTGATCTCCTGTGTGCTATGAGGTCTCTATGAGTCAGAATAGACTCAGGCATTGAGTTTGATCTGCCCTTCTTCCTTTGGGATGTATACATCATGTATCTGGACCTCTACCTAATCCTTTATATCTATCTACCTTTTTAATCCATCTGCTTATCTTTTAATCAAATCATTTACTTTTTTCTAAGTTTTTATCTATATCTTTTTTCTATCTACCTCCTTATCTGTCTAACTAAATAGCCAGCTGGAACGGCCCCGTCTTTGGCTTTGATAAGAACTGGAAGAATGCCCAAAGAGCTCCTGTCGTGCAATGGTTGAGCACTTAGCCACCTGAAGGGCCAGTGGTTCCAACTCCCAACAACCCCTCACGAGGAAGATGGGATCAATCCAACATGAACTATTGAACAACATACAAACGGACAATAATCTACCAAACTTATTTTATGAAGCAACTTTAACTGTGATACCCAAGTCAGGCAAAGACATCCCCAGAATTGAAAATTAAAGACCAGTATCTGATGAATACAGACACCAAGAATTTCAATAAATATTTAGCCAAGAGAATTCAACAAATAATCCAAAATAATAATAATACATCATGTTCAAGTGGGAGTCATACCAGATATACAACAATGTTTTAACATTAGAAAAACAATCAATGTAATTCACCGCATTACCAAAATAAGGGGTAAGAGCCATATGATTATATTAACTGATACGAAAAAAGACCTATGATAAAATTTACCCTCTATTTTTAATAAAAAATAATCAATAAAATAGATGGGAAATTTCTCAACATAATAATGGTCAGATATTCTAAATCAACAGCCAGCATCTCACTTAATAAAGAGAAATTGAAAACATTCTCCCTTAGAATGGCAACCAGGCGGGGTTCCCACTTTATCACCTCTGTTATTTAATGTAGTCCTAGAAGTCTTATCCAGAGCTATGAGACATCAGAAATGTATTAAAGGCATCCACATTAGCACAGAAGAAACAACATACGTGAAAGATGAAATATTTGGGAATAAATTTTACCAGAGAAACAACAGACTTACACAAGAAAACTACAACACACTCCTGCATGAAAACAAATGAAACCTCTCCGATGGTCCTGGATAGGTAGACTGATTATAATGAAAACGTCAGTATTACCAAAAAACACTTTACAAATTCAATGCAATTCTAATCCCAAACCTACCACAATTCTTCAAAGAAATGGAAAATCTAGTCACTAACTTCATATGGGAAAGAACAAAACCCAGGATAAACAAAAGACTATTAAAAATGAAAAACAAAGTAGGAAGGCTGTCACCCTAGACTTTAAAACCCACTCATACCCCTGGTAATCAGAAGATAAAACCCATACGTACCCCTGGTAATCAGAAGATAAAACCCATACGTACCCCTGGTAATCAGAAGAGCGTGGCATTGGTGCAAAGGTGCACGTGAAGACCAAGGGATTAACACTGAGAACCCAGACATACAGCCAGGCACCTACAGAGACCTGATCTTTGATACAGAGCTAAAACGCTTTCACTGGGGAAGAGATAACTTTCAAAAGGATGAAGCAGGACCTACACCTCACACCATGTGCAACAAGGAGTTTATGATAGAATAAAAACTCCCCAAACTAAGCTCTCTGCCACTGATTCGATGCTGACGTGCACTGACCCTTACAACTGGGCATAGAGGTCCTTGGGTGTGTCCACGACAGTTACTGTTTGGGAAGCATGAAGCCCTGTCTCTCTCCCTCAGAGTGGCTGGTGGTTTCAAACTGCTGACCTTGTGGATCATCACCCAATGCTTTCTTCAGCACAGAATACAGACCTAAATATAAACCCTAAAATCATAAAGACCGCCAATGAAAAAATAGGTACAAAACTAAGGGCATAAATGCAATACCAAATGTAATGAAAAATATCTGTCTGCACTACAGAATATAAAGGACTGGGATTTTCTAAAAATACGACATTGATGCACATCCAAAGACGTCATCAAAAGGGCTGAAAGGGAACCTACAGGTT